GGAAGGGATCTGCACTCAGGTGAGTAATTATGTTATGGTATAGCTGCAAATGATGGGATCTGCGCACAGATGAGCTATTATTGTACCTGTGCTACAAGGAAATCATCCTTACCCGGGTGAGTGATCATTCCACGGTAAAATGACAATAAAAAGGTCTGCACTCAAGTGAGTAATTGTGTAGACCACTCCTTGCTCTTGTAGCATGGAAGTATCCCGCGTCTGTTTTTATAACGTTCGTTTTGTAGCTATTACAATTATTCTTGCGTTGATTATTCTTTCCTTTATACAACTACAGAGAAAATTTAACCTTGGCAATATTAACGCTGAGGGAGAGAGGCGAACTACACAAAATGGAGAAGAAATGGTGGTATGAAAAAGGTGAATGCGGTGACGGGGATTCCAAGTCACAGGTAGGTAGCAATATAAACTTGAGTGTGGGATTCTATGTCAAAAGTATGTGAAACAAGAATTTCAAGTTCCACATTGGTGGAAGAATTGACAAATGTGTAAATGAGTAATTGCAAATTTGGCAGAATGAATGTGGGGATTGGGAGCGTAAATCTTGATTGACACCCCTGTGTAGATATGTCATTCATTATCTATATTATCTTACAGGAAACAGCCAATGCACTGAGTCTCAGTAATGTAGCAGGTGTATTTTATATATTAGTGGGTGGTCTGGGATTGGCAATGGTGGTTGCGCTAATGGAATTTTGTTATAAGTCAAGGAAGGAAGCGAGACGAGCCAAGGTAAGTCTGTGAAATATTTGTAAATATATAATTTGCTTTAGGCCTCTTATATGCATATTGAAGATACATTGATCAATGCATCTATCTCCCGGAAATCTCTATAATTTTAATGTATATTCTGCGTCTTAATATAAATGGTTATATAAATGCTGCTGGATAATATATAGTGTACACAAGTTTAAAGTATATTTACAGTGAATGCGATATACATACATCAAATAATAAAAGGGGTATGTTGGTTGGTTGAGTTCTTGAAAAGATGGGCATAGTAGGTTTGTTGGTTGATTGGTGGAGAACCTTGTTAAAATTGTCACAGTGTTACGTTGGTTAGTTGATTTGTTTTGTAATTTGTCTGTTTTGCATAATATGATCAACCGGTCAAATTGTTGACAAATATAATGAGTTCTTTGTCACATCATAACATATCAATTTATATTGTAGACTAGCCTATCAATCGCAATGAGGGCAAAGGCCAGAATGTCTATAAAAGGTGACAATGGGAGAGTTTCTACACCAGATTTCACAAAGTCTATATCTACTGTCCCAATTACAAGGTCGTCGAACGTAAGTATGAATACCATCGAATTTAAATTGGGAAATAACAAACAATGTCCGCCCCACAAAAAAACTTAAACTTGGTGATACAATACCAAATTATTTAGTTCCAAGATACGTGTAAGATCACTGAAGCAAATGACTACATGGTGAAAAGGAATAGTAATCAACATTTCATTTTTCATCTCATTTTAGAACAATGAATTCATTATTTATTCAATCAATCAATCATTGCGCCCCATTAACTTCCTAATAACAATTTTGAATGAATTACATTTTGATTCATTTATTCATTCTTTTACCTTTTTTTCTTGTTTTATGCGTCATCTATTAACAGTTGCGAACTCCGCCAAAGGTAATATATCAATCCCTGCATTGCCTGCTTCTCGTTTCAATATATGATTGCGATTATTTTTATATTATGCATAAGTTACTCGGACTGTATTTATGTATTTTTGTCTTTAGAAAATACCATCCATTGAAACATCTAAACATAATGCACGTAACAAATACATTAACCAATCTGACGTACATTAGTTATGTAAAAAGTGTGTTGTTTATGAACTATTATACCATGGTTGTTGTAGTATATATACACGGGTAACAACGTTTTTATATGTGTTTATACAACATGTGAATGATGTATATGCTACGTAAAAGAGCAGTGCATATCATTATAGGTTTAGCATGCGGTATTTACTCTCAGTGTATAATAGTGCATTTGCAGTGTATATATATTCACAACATGTTTGAGATATGTAATACGAAACGTATTTATAGCATTGTATAAAACGTGGATGGCATTTGCAATTCGTCTGTATGTGTGCCTTTTTCTATCATGTGCTTTGGTAATTCAGATCGCATATATCCATAGCCACGTATGCCATTAACGTAACCAGTTTATTTGATAATTATGCTCTCGTGGTTGTCTGAGTACTGCCATTTTTAACACAAATCTAAACCATTTGTTGGCAACTCGTGACCAGCATAACATTGTATGGAGGCAAAATTAAAACCGCAAATGCCCTCATTATATTAAAAAACAAAAATGGGTTATCAGAACAACGACCGATGCTTAGTGGAGGATGGCGTGGCCACGCCCTGTGTAAGTGCATACTTGGGGTATCTTCGAAATAATCTTACTGTTAGTATTTTCCCAATCTAACCACTCGGTCTTACGGAGCCTGGAATTAGGAAATTGGTCTAAAATGTATTTGCTTATCTCAGTCTATACCTATACATAGCGAAATGTTATATAAAATGGCGAGAAGCTGTCAGATGTATAATAATACATGTTATATGTCACCGTTATGTACCTAAGAGGTTTCTTTTTTCATTCAGGCAAATTCTGGAAACATGTTCAGTAGAAAAAAAAGTTTAACGCCATGCCCAAGTGAAGAAGATTTACTGGCTAAAGTAAAGAAAGAAGAAGTGTACCTGAGAGAAAATGTCAAAGTAAAATAATTATAGTATGGTTTGTCTTCTTTGCACAATATTTGCTAAAACGAAAACTAAGTAATTTTGGTCATTCTTAAGTTTAAAGTTCAGCATAAAATAAAAGCAAAATAATTATATGTTCTTATATATTATTTGCGTATGCGAAGTCAGTTTTGTACTCTCTTGAAACGTTTTCTCAGCATGGTGCATTCGAATGAAAAAACTTGTAAAAGATTTAAATGACGACATTGAAATGAAATTGTTTCGATTCTAAGATAGTAATGTTCATATCATGTCATGATCATCCATCTCCATCTAGCTCATTTCCATCGCCATGGTAATCATATTAAATGCACTATTCTTTTGATTACTCGTTTCGAAACTGCAAAACCTTCCTGAGATTAATTCTAACATGTTTTGTAAACAGGAACGAAAGTCTAAAATAACCTTGACAACCCCCGAATGCAAGGTAAATAAAACAAAAATGTGATAAACTAGTTGTAAATGTTTGGAAGCATTCACAATCTCAAACATATGTGCATATCAGATGGGTATCAAACATGTTTGAACAAACAATTTAACATGTTTTGAACAACAACAACCAATTATGGTTGTTTATCTAGATAGAGTCTTGTTTATGTAGTTAGAAGTCGGTTCGAAATTGCTGGATATATTTTGGGCTATTGATGAGCTTAACAACCGTTTTAGCAGGCATCTGACAATTGTGTAAATCTCGCGGTATTTTAAATCAGATTACTAAAATGAACAGCATATAACTGTGTAACAAGTCTATTATTTTAAGATATTATTACCGATTACTAAGCTGGAAAACAAATGATTCATACTTATTTATTTATTTATTTCAGATGTTACACATTGAAGGGCTGGACTCTTGCAATGGTACCAACACTCACACACAAGTGTAATATCGACACTACACAGGACGACTCAGTTAGCGCATGCGTTTGACTAGTCTGTTCATTCTGGTTCTAACCGGATTACGTCTGCCTGTTTTGGCACCACCGTCGACGACGTGAAAAGTAGAGGCATCCAATTTAGGGAGGCGTAGAGTTAGTGCTCTGTTGTATTTAGAAGTCTGAGATGTCTCCTCAGTGTAATTTATAAAAGACATATAATTATAGACGTGTATATTGCATCATTTTTAGTATCGAACGGGATCGCAATGAATCTTTAGAAAAAATCTCTTCTTGAAATATGAACAAAATGTGATTTGATATTTGATGATGTATAATCATTATTGACAGGGTTGCTGAATCAGATTACATTGGTATCTGTACCCTTTCAAAACAGTTAGTTAGAAGGAAAAACACAGAATAAGTGTTACCAAAACAAAATTCTAGTTAGCTGCATACTTCCTCCATACTGTCGAGATACACTCAAGGTTGGCAAGAAATGAAGAATGTGGCTTGCACATCTCTCGGCAAAAGTGATCTATCGCGGCGTCCACCATCAAATGAGATTAGGGAAATTAACACATTTGTCTTCAGAATCGCCATAACAGTGAAAGCATCGTTAGCATACCTCAAAATATTACTGATCGGCCAATGATTGAGAAGTTTAAATGTCATCACATTCAAGTATTTTTGAATTAAAGTTGTTGATCCAGGCTGTGGTATTGAAATAAAAAGGCATGGAAATTTCTTATATAATAAAACACATGTGACAAGAAATACGACATCTTGTTTTGGTTTTATTTCTAAGTGTGAGTAATAGAGGAATGTGTGTTTTGTGATTATGTATAAGTTCAGATTAAATGCCAGCTATAACATGTACGTGGGGCTCTAATAACATCGAGTGTTGAACCGAACTCAACCAACCTGTGGTTCACTTCTACACAATTCCCCCGTTGCCAATCTCGTGGTCTCTCGTGGTCAGGCGAAATTGGGTGCGCCCGCAGCGACTGATTTAAAAATACAATTTGAGCAGCAATCATCTCTTTTAGGTGTATCTCAGACTGGTGCCAAATGGATGAAAATAAAACCAAACACACTTTCGATGTTGTTTTGGTGTGTCGATTAATGAAAAATAATGAGAGGAATGACTATGTTCACCATCGACCGCATTTGTGGCTTTGAAAGAAATTAGACCCACATTTTTGTCGTGGTCTCGTAGATCGCGAGTCACGAGATCGTTCCTAAAATAGTGACCACTCTATTCTATCAACGCGTCCACAGTTCCATTGAAATATATAAACATGTTATATTGAAAACTCACTTTGTTGAAGTCACAGAATGCTTCGTCGCTAAAAACATCTTGCATGGTTGTATATTCAGTCAATGACAGTATACTGTATATCTCTCACAAATAAAATACCACAATGCAGTGTCTTTAAACCACTCCCATTTATGTAAAGGTGGGTGCACACATTCAGGTTTATGTTTATCGAACAAAATCTGATTTTGTGAACAGCAACATCCAATGTGACAATTTACCAAAAATAATGTGAGTAATCTTGAGGTCAAATGTGTAGACGATACTGTACTCGTGTTCGTGAAATTGTTCATTCGAAACAGGATATCCGAACAATTGCGCAACAACAAGCAATTATCCGATTTACAATTATTATCAACATCACATGGAGGTTGTAATGACCAATCACGTTCGACTGAATGTGGTCACGTGTTTCAGGCTTTGACTCCATTTTCATTGCAGATTGGCAATGTTCCACTGCGTAATAAACTCATGAGAGTTTATAATTATATTTTCATCAATTTAAACAGTTGTCGACTGGCATGCTGTGTCGCCATTCAAAGTATCACTGCACCATTGTCACATGTCAGCACAATCCATTATCTGTGGCGACCAATCACAGCACGAATGTCACATATCAACAAAATTATCTATCTGTGGCAACCAATCACGTAACACTGCAGTTTGCATAAAAATAAAATGTTTGCATAGATTCGACGTCATCAATAATTCAAATTAACCATAACAAAGCCAAGTGATATATCACGTACCTTATTATAAATACACACAATTTGCAAAAAGTAGAATGCTTACAATATAAAAATTTGGCGTGTCTCATACTACCTTTTAATATTTCCTCAGTAAAATATTATAATAAAGGTTCCCGTAAACCCAAAATATTTCTTTTTGCGGACGAGAATCGTTAATTTTCTTATTGATTTT